TCCTTCAAGAAGGCTTTGATTTGCCTTCATAGTAGCAATTTAGATGGGACATTGTGTTTACACTAGAAATAGTCACCGTGAATGTTTGCCTATCCTATTAAAACTATCAGGTCTATAGATGACAAGTGCTATGCAAATGCAAAGTGGTATTTTTCATTTGTTTCAGAGCTGTTGTTTATTCAGTCATTATGGACATAAACTCAGTAATTACTTACACTGCCAATTGATGCCTAAAAATAATTCTTAGGCAGTGCTTGAATTACTTGCCTTCTGTTGAGCTAAATAGTCTCATCATAATGCGATTGATGATTAAATAATTAAAATGGATTTTTTTATATTATAGTCCAATTCAATATACTATTATTTGTGAAACACACCCTATGTAGACAAACTTGTATGCAGATACATCTTTTACATAATCCATATGAAGACCTCAGAACTAATGGATTAGCACTGTGCAGTTTATTCTCCAATTATTGCACTTACCAAAGAAAGCCATCTGTGGTCTTTGTTTTACTGAGTTTCAGGGAAACAGATCACATGCAGGCCTCATGGGAAAGTTATAATTATGAAAGCAGGCTGCTTCTTGGATGGTGTGATATGAAAGAACAGACAGCAAATCTGGGTTTTTTTATATCTTCAACCTCAGATGCTGTACATCAGTAATTCACACACACACACCTTTACTGTTCGCTTTCAAGTCCTCTGTTGCGTTGTTTCTTTCTTCACTCATTTATACCTTCCTATTCACAATTGTCTTTTTCTTTTTCTTGTGCTGCAGCTACAGAACTGGATTCTTACTTTTCAAACTGCTGCCAAGAAGATGCTCACACTTGAAAATGTTTGTGTGTATGTCTAGCAGGGCTATGATCAGTGTTCTTCTGTATTAGTTAATGTTCTCATGGCTGTAGGTACATACACATAATGCAATGAATGTCTTTCTCTCTGTTGTAATTCTCAGGATGACGTATTTTGGACAGGCATCCACCTCCTGAAGCATCTCCTGAATGATACTGGCACATATGTATTGCCTAATGGAGAGTGTACCCAACTCCAAACCCAGCCTGAGAAGCTATGTTGGTTATGTGCTTGACTGCTTCAGCTTGTTAAGCCATGGGACTGTGAGCCGGGGGGGAAGGAGTTTAGGCAGAGATATTTCAGTCTTCTGGAAGACACATCTTTCTTAGATTGCCATGAATAATTTGAAAGATCAGTGGTGATTCATTGAAGAGTCTGACAGCACAAAAAAAAATGTTTGTAGCATAATCCGAGGAAGGAGAAGCAGATTTGGTTTCTTATATTTAAGTAAAAATATGTTTATGCTACTCTGAAATTTTCATCTATGTGAATAAAATTATAAGCTTTTGCTTACTGCACTCATATCCAGAACTTCAGATACTAGGTTCCTATTCATTAGGACTACTTCTGACTGAAAAAAAAATACATTCTCTCAACACTGTCAAAGTAAACAAACAAACCCTATTGTGTTCTAGTCTTCTAACCTTATGCTGCTTGTGTACTGATGTAGAGGATAGCAGTTAAGTGATGGAATTACAGTAGCAGAGTTTTCCAAACAGCATAGCTTCTTAAAGAGTAATAAGACAGAAGAACTGACATCTGCATCTCCTCCGTGAATATGACTGAAGTTACTGAGGGCCAATGACTTTTTTTTTTCCATGTTCTCCTTTAAATTAAGAATCATTAATATTCATTTTTATGGACTGATAGTCTTTCTTGAATTTATTCCTCCTTTTGTATATCTGTTTGCAGACCTGTCAGTTTTCTTAAATTACTTCTCAAAATAAACAGCATTTATCTTTTAAAAAGGTTTGATGACACAAATGTCCTTCTACTATTCATTTAGGAATAGGTTCATGCAGAAGGAAAAAACAGAATTCAGAAACTGCATAGAGTAAACAGTAGATATATTATGCTGACCTTTAAGTACATTTCTACTATGTCCAACACTAAGTTTTCTATCATTAGAAATAAAAGCTTTTGTGAGATTATGAAATTGGAGACATACATATTAACACATATTACAAAGTTAAACATAACAATATATATAGTGTCCTGAATACAAGAATTACAATAGCACCAGTCTTGTGATGTAAATAATGTAGAATCACAGTATTCACTGAATTAGATATATAATTATCTCGAATCTATTATTATAATTTTAGAATAAGTGAATGAAGAATTAATTCAGTAAGTTTTCAGCATGTACAAAACAGATCTAGAAAGTTTTTCTGTTTTATTTGAGATTAAAAACTTGATCTCCACGAAGTTAGTAACACCAGTGTTTCACAAGATTTTGGTTTGGAAGAAGTGTTCCTGTGACCAATTGTCTATAATTTTTTTTCATATCCATTGTCTTTGAGTCAACTATTTCTCTGTCAAATTTGTTTGGAATTGGCCAAGAGATTTAAAAGATGCTTGCCAAGAAGAGAAGGTGGTTAAAAGCAGCAGACACACAAAGAGCTCATGTTGCCCATCCCTTTATAGAAATTTAGGCTAACTGCTGGGTTCTTTTCACTGAACTGTTTCATCTTGGTGCTCTTGCTTTTAAAAGGCATATGGATAGTTCTGGTGAAATGAATCCTGTCTTTATCCAGAAAGTGCAGCATCCAGAGGAGAACACCAGAATTTACTTGCCCCTTTTTCTATCAGCCTCTTGATATTCCCCTGCTGATTTTGATCCTCTGAATACTGATTTTGCCCTGAGTTAACACAATTCAAAAGTACTTAAGACTGGAAAAATTACCAATGAGTTCTCAGGAATTTAGGCCTTTTACTAAACCTCTTAGAGATAACAACATCCTATGGCAAGATAAGTGATTTATTTATTCTTTCTTGATTTTAATATGTCATATTCTTTGAACTCGTATTCTAGTGGAAGATGTAAAAATCTGTGAAAAATTGCCATATTTTTAAGGACAGACAAATTAAAATTTAGGGATAAATGTTTGGCCCTGTTCATTGCATTGAGAATCAATCCAGCAGCCTTTCAGGACAAAAATATCCTTCTACCGCAATATAAGAATTTTAGCTTCATTAATGAATTGTATTAAATTTAATGAAACCAGTGAACATGTACAGTTTGCACAACTGTCTGTTGTGTACTGAAATCTTCATACTCTTCAATCACTTATAGGAGTTCAAAGGAAATACAGAAAAATTAAATTCGCCACTCTTCTCACAAAAGCACAGTTGTCTCAGATTAGGCGTGACTCATCTTTTAGATACTGGCCAAGTAATAAGCTCCTTGGCCAAAATTCCCTCTCTGTTGATGTAACTAATTTATTAAAAAATTAGAAGAGGTATTTAAATAATCTTGACAGGTTTTATCAAGGTAGCACCAATAAACTCAGCAGTTTTTATTAAAAAAAAGCCCTAAAGAAAATTTTAAAAAGGCTCATATCTAACCAAGCTCTATTAGTCGATTTCCCCTGGAAGCAACAGATCCCAAAAGTGCTTTTTTAGATCTGAATATTTCGTTTTTTTCAGTAAAAACTATCCAAAATAAAACCAGGTCTAGATAGGTACTTAGAGGTACTTGGTTTGGTGAATTCTTGAAAGAATTAACCAATGTATGTTGATCTAGAAAACTCCTTAAGCAAAAGTGTTAGAGTCTAGCAAAAGTGTCTAGAAGCTTGGCATAAAGATTATCATGACCAAAAAAAAATGAATACAGGAGATATTTTTTTCTATATCTGTTGATACCAGACAAATGGCTGGCTGAATAGACAAGCTGATGGGGGACAAGGGAAGAATAAACTGCTGGCAGCAGGCAGGCAGATGGGAAGGATGAGAGTTTGTGAGGCACAGGGCAAAATCACCCTTTTCAGTGCCCCACCAACTGCCACATGCTCATCATGGGCAGAGGGAGGGTTTGAGAAGAGCTTTGGCATTTTTTTTTTAGGAAGCTTATGACTTGTTTCTTTTTTTAATTGTAAGGCTGGCAGTAACAAGGTCCTAAAGCACGATTTTTGAGAAGTGTAAATCTACTACAGTGTTACAAAATGCTAATACTGGAACGGCATATATTTAAAATAAGTTAAAATTAAGTTTTGAGGAGCAGTTTTTTCCCTATGAAATGCTGATTTTTAAGCCTTTCTCAGAAGTAATTGGGATTTTTAATTATTATTTTTAAAAATCTCAAATCCCTGATAAGGGCTTTAGATTAATTCTTTTTGAAAGCCATAGCTGCTTTAGTACAAAACATGTCTCATGATTACATTGGTTTATATACACATATAAATCCTATTGATGCTCGTGTATCACTGAATATCCCAAGATAATATTCTAGGATTAAGTTTCAGGTTTTGTGGGGTTTTTTTTGGTGTGGTTTGTTTTGTTTTGTTTGTTTTGGTTTGGGGGTTTTTTTGTTTGTGGTTTTTTCATGGGTTTTTTGTGTAAATCATCCATAGCATTAGATTTACAGAGGTCTCATTTTTTAATTAAACTAAAAATTGCAGCATCCTGCTACTCCAAAAAAACACTGAAGAATTTTGTTTAGGAATGTGAAATGATATGCAGCTCTGTGTGAGCAGATCCACTAGGACCTGAAGCTGGCCTTGGGAGACAGAAAAATAAATACAAATCTTTTCTTCTTTTGGTAATCTGTCACTAAGTCCTGCTGTTGGTATTTGTACCAGGGCATCCACCAAGGAAGATCCAGTCTCCTGACATAATGTCACACCCCTCACCACCCAAGATAACCTGACAGCCTTTAGGCCTAGTTCTTTGGTGTAAAAATACATAAGAGTACATGGCAGATCAAAGTCTTTGGGGAGAGTTCACAACCTTAACCTGGATTTAATCCTTGCAACTAACCTCTGTTCCTTGGATAGAGTCCAGTGCATCTGCACCTCTGGCAGGATGTACAATAAGCCTTGCTGATAATTAGAACAGATTTCTAACTGCATACTCTCACATGTCTGCAGATAAAAATGAAACAACGTGAATGTCAATATGCTGTCACAGGGATCCTCTATTCTTTACAGCTTTCTTGAACATATATAGCTGTTCCGTTTGACCTTCCTGCAATCAGTTGCTTGCCATTTTCCTCGCTTCTGCACCAATACACAATTTCTTCCTCTCTTTGGAAAGTGGTAGGAGCCTCTTCTCCAATTTATGTAGGTTACAGGTTCTCCTCCATTCCACTCCCAATGTCCAGGATTGACTTGGTCGTTCAAACCTGTGTGAAATCAGTAAAACAAAATTAGTGATGCTTATAGTCTCTGGAGCCCAATGCCAACAGAAGCACGTTGTTCAATCCTCTTGTTATAAAATGCATACAATATTGTGCTGAGAGAAATACCCATCTGGAAGAATACAAGTAAAATACAATTTAATATTTTGTAAAACAGTAAGTGCTGTCTGAGTAAGGGAAAATATACTTATTATTGCCTATCTAAAATGTTTTCTCTTTTTCTATCTATTGTATGTGTATCACTTCTCAGGTTTCTTTTTTGGACAAGCAGAATGTTGTGTTCAAGTCTGGGCAGCCTCACATGCCTTCAGATTCCTTCTGAAAATAGCATACTGCAGATCTTTGTAGACCTTGTTTGAACTGTTGAAATTAACAGTTATAAAATTAGTGCTAATTAATACAAATTAGAACACTTCTTTTTACTTAGCCTCTGAGCTACTAATATGAGCATGAGTGGCATGTTTTTAGCCATGACCTGTGGTCTAGAGTAGAAGAGACCAAGATCGTAAAATTGACACAGTAATCTTCATTCTTGTATCTCAGGTTAACAGAATCATGATACCATTATTCATGATCCCAAACCAATCAGAGTTTTTAAAGGTAATTTAATATAGTGAGTATATTCATCTCAGAAAATGACAAAGAGCTGAAAATTGTGGTTCAAAATCGGAAAAAGGAACCTGAAATGTGGACAGTATACCAGAAACAAGACGGGTTAGCACTAGTCCATGAGCTAAGATGGTCATTCACAGAAAGGGTTCAGAAGGTGTAGAGAAGGCCCACCTGAGCTCTTTCCATTTTGCATGAAATGAAAGGTGCATAACAAGAAATAGACAGCTAAATCTAAAATGATATGATGAAATCTTCTTTAGTTGTTCATCTAATTAATCAACAAGATTTCTAATACAATATGACACCATTAAATTAGCAGTAAAATAAATAATCATTTAAAGTAACATTTTAAATATATAAATTACATCTAAATAACATATCAGTTGAAAGAAAGGTGTTGTAAACAAACAAACAAACAAAAAGTCAGGAGTTCCACCAGAACTTATTTCCCCAGCTAGTATGTTTGAAGACAAAAATAACCCAGCAATAGGCAACATGATGAATTTTTTTTTTATAAACATTTTTTTTCTTATAAAATTAGTCAGGTAAATTATGTCTTTCAGTTTAACAACTTGCTCTGAAATAATAAAAGCAGCAGAAAGTTAAGGACAGTGCAACATTTGAAAACTGGGTTGAACTGCTGTGGTAGTTTCAGCTTTCCAAGGTGCACAGTAACTGTAATCCTTAGAGGGGATAAGCAACTGCTGTACTTGCCTATCCAAAAGGGCTTCCTCCCACTGAAGTCCCATAGCCACTGCATGTGTTGTTCATTAGCCACACTTGCTAGACTCCCCAGGTATCTAGGCTCAAGGAGAAATGACAGAGTGATTAGCATTCCACAGAGTGACAGACGTCTCCCATCAGCTTGTCAACTAGGGACACTGTTTCTAGTATGAAACATATAGCTAATGTTTCACAGGAAGACCACTGCTTAATGGCATGAAAAAATGCCATTTTTTCACACATGAAGATAAAGTATTAAAATTCTACATTACTTGGAATGAAACCAAAGTCATAGTCTGTTAAGACATTTCTGTTATAAAAATCAAATCAGCTGGGCAACTGAAGTTGTTTATACAGGAAATGTTGGCCTCATACTCACAAACTGTATTTTAAACCATTGGCATCATTATTGATAAAATCCTTTCTTTAAAATAATAATCTGCCCACACGAAAATCCAAGCCACTGAAAGATTCAGCTTCATGCATTTGTTGTAGAGAAGACTATATCTTTCTTAAATCGTGTTCTGACAAAACAAAGCTTTGAATAACACATTTAAAATTCCCACCATGTTTTAAAACAGAGCTGAGTGCATGTAATTTGCATGTCTGGATTAGGATTGTTGTGTGGTTCTGAGAGGTAATGTTGGGCTGTCTGCAGTGACTATGCATTTAGTGCAGATCAGAGAGCAGTTGTTTTGCGTATTAAGCAGACCATTTCAGAATGAAGCCAATACACAACCTCTGCTCTGTGTTTGTACTTAAAAGTATGCCAGCCCCAAAGGAGGACTTGCAAACCCTAGCCACTGACTGGCCTTGCCACTGTGAAATCTTCCAACTAGTACCAAGCCTGCAAGCACCGTAAGGATGCTCTGCAACCATTTATAGATCTGGCTAAATTCTGAAACATTAAAAGACAAATTACATCCTTCACATTTGCCAGTAACTGCCAGACATCTGTGGCTCCACTTTCTTATTTATCCATCTTTTTGCCTGCCTTGATGTCATGTAATGTTTTACCTCTCACACCTGCTATTGCCTTCCCTCCAATTCTGAGTCTCTGTCATTTCTTTTGTCCCATATTTCTGCCTGCCACTCAGTCTAACAGTGATGCCAACCCCTTCAGGCTCCCAAAACACCCTGAGTCATGGTTGATAAGGCCCAAGAAAACAATACTGCTCATCAAAACATGGTTTAAAAGAGAAAAACCTTTTCTAGCAGCAGCATAAATCAATGGCATTATGGTCATTGTGCTAATTTCGTTATTGTGGACAGGTAAAGGAGACAGAATATAAGCAGTGCTCCAATGGGGGGAAAGACTTTCTTTTTTACAAGCTGGGATAACTAGACCTCAAGGGCCATGTGGCAGACTGGAATCCACTATGAAGGCTATGAACAGGGGCCAAGGTACTATCCCACCACCAAGCTTGCTGCCGAGTTAGAGACCCATGCCTGGATATCCATTCCTGTTTGCTGCTTTGTATCTCTTCAAACAGTACTGATTCCACGAAAGCTATGCCATAGTACTACACAAGACAGGGAAGCAAGCAAATATTCCATCATGGAGAGTTCAGAGTAGTAGTCCACAATATTATGCACAGTCCCTACTTCACAAAATCTGGAGCATTCCTTAATCTGGGCATAGAGGGTCATGGTATGAAACAAATCTATTTTACTGCTGATGGGAACACTCCTGCTGCAAGGGCCTCATCCACTCTCCCTGAAGTCAACCACAGCAGCTGGGGATTTGGCCTGTGCTTCTCTTTGCATGGTAGTTCTGCCAAGGACAGCTGAGTGTTAGCCCTCACAGTTTGTGTAAGCACGGCTGCCCTGGACCAAGCACCACACAACAACACAGGTGCCATGGAGGTCCCCTGTGTTCAGAGGCCACCAGAGAACAAAGTGTAAAGGATCTCACAGACATCTGTGTACAGTCTCCTCAGGTAGAGGTGTGGAAGTTTGGCCTCAGCAACACTGATACGACTTTACACATAGCAGACTGTTCCACCATAAAGTGGTAAGCAACTGTCTGGTAGGGTTTAGTATTGTGCACCCATTTACAGCGCAGACTCACAAAACTTTGCCCAATGAAGCTCTCACAGAGGCTTTGGCAGTTCTTTACATTATGGTAAAGTTTAATGCAAGGTGTTGGTGCCTCCTATGTCCCCAGGGTGCCATGCTTCCACACTTCTTGGCCCATCTACCAGGAATCTGCAGTGAACCAGGAACAAAGCTGTTAAACTGACAAAAGCTCATGGGAAGTTTTGTACTCCATCCTCTTCCTCAGGCAAAAGGTCCAGGAAAGCAGATTCGCTTACTTTAGGGTGTCCTCCCATGGCATCTGATTCAGCAGCAGGATGCCATTCTCTCTCACAGTGGCTGTGGTTGGCCAGTGACCAAACCTGGGGCTAAGAAAATATTTGAGCAGCAGTCTCTGTGGTATCTGTACTATCTGAGCAAGAGTAAAAATAGGACATTGTATCTGGCTTGTGCTTCGGGACAGTTAAAGCCCTGGAATTAAGCTTGTTTACTTTAAATAAGCATAGCCTACTTCTGTTTCAGCTGTTTTAGGAAATGTGAAAACAAAGAGCATCAGTGTGTATCAGTAACAGCTGTATCACTTATGACATACAGGCGTGGCATGAGCAGTAGTGGTTTCTGACTTTTACTTCAAATAACAGGGAGAGGCTTTATGACTGTAAAAGGAAAGCACTGCAATAATCATAACATGTAATCTTTTCTCCACAGGAGTGCTTTCTAAATACTGCCAGAAAGACACACATGAAAATACAAACTGAGAAACACATATGACTGAAGAGACAGTGACTGTTTTATTGTTACACCTAGCCAGAGGTTTTGATGCGTCATAGGGAAATGAGGACAGTCCTGAAGGAGCATACCACTTACAATAATATTGCTAACTGTACCTATAGGCAGAGCACCAGACATAGGAAATGACAAGATAATGTTATTTATAGAGTTACGTAAATCTAACACTTCCTAATTTAAATTACTCTAGAGAAGGGGTCATAATGCCTTATGAGGAAAAAAAAAAAAAAGGAAAAAAAAAAAAGACAAAAAAAGGCACATAACTTATTTCTGCAGTAAATAAGTCCATTTGAAATTATTCCTGTGTGATTTGAAATTTATGCTATCAGCTCAAGAGAATCCGTTATCATAAAGCAGTTGCCCAAACTCAGGAAATATTTTGAGTAGCTGTTGACCTTGAAGTATCATATGCAAAACACTTAGCACAAACACTTTGCTGATTTTACATTAAATTAGTCAATATATTTAAAGGAACTTTTTACCATTCAGCAAAAGCACAATGAGTACCTATAAAGGTCACAGCCCAGGAGGACATTTAATTTGAACTGCTGTAGTAAATCCATGTCCTATACTGACCGTGAAGGGGAGGAAGTGACTGAGAGGCTCTGCTTATCCCAGGCTTTTGTTTCATCACCTAAGGAGTAATTCTGGTGCCTTGAAATAGATGCCTAGTGTTGCTTACGATGCCTCCTGATATTCAAAACATTCAGATGAGGCTGGCAGACATGATGCAGAGCTTACAGGAGCCCTGCGCTTCCAGAGTGGCAGCTGAAAGTCACACAAGATGTTTTGGGCCTTTAAAATTAATCTAGGTACCTGAATCCGTATGCTGGAGTCTCTAGCAATAATTTAAGTTAGCCCAGTCATTTAGATTTAAGTTAAACCGGTCACTTACAGCACTGGTACAGCATTAGGAGAGGAAGGCAGCAGAGTCCATCCTGCTTTACACTAGGCAACACTGTGATGTAACCTATTATTTTAAATGTGGTTCTGCCTGTGATTCTCATGGACTGATGCCACATGCTGCTAGTATACAAATGCCAAATGGAATAACAGCCCCTGCCTTACAAAGCTAGCAGTTAAGGATCAGAAATCTGACCATATTTAGGCTCTAATTAAATGTTTGACTTCAAGAAGATGAAGGTATAATTTGACTAACAGCGAAAGACACAACTGTGGATTCTGTTTATTCAGTAGAGGGTCCATTCAGTGGTAGCAATGAAACTATCTCACATGCGAGAAAGCCTGGCTGCACCAACCCTTGGGTAGGACACACTCCTATGGGATAAACAAGAACTGTAACATAAATCACCAAAATTGCTGCTAAATCAGACTGCTGTGGGATCACTCAGCCATAATATCCCCCAGGTGCCTCTCTTCATGTTGCCAAGGGCCTATTCATGCGTACAAAACAAAGCTAGAAAAAGGAGTTCTTAAACCACTTTTCTCCAATGTATGGGAAAAGGGTTCTAAATGGTGCAAGATTTTCACAGAAATTTGGATTGTTTCCACTCACAGTATCACCGTATCACAGCAATTTGCACCAAGACCAGCACATTTTTGTGTCTGCTTCTTTCCCCACACTTGGAAACTGAATAGAAAGTAACTATGCCACCTGCAATAAATGAGTGCAGTGAATGTCAAGGCTCATTAGAAGCCCAAGTAGGGTTGCATAAGCCCATGTACATTAAGTTATGTCCAGACAGCAATTGCTTCTGTAATAAATTGATAACATTGCTTTGATGAAATAGCTTGGTTTCAATCATCTCAGAATAACAGTGTTTTTGCTAAGGAGTTGGTTAGTTGGAAACTGTTTCTGAAACAACTTTTAAAATGCCTGTGGTTTTTTCCTGTTGTATATAATAGAAAAAGCGTAGTAAGATGATTGAATAGATGTTTAAAATAATGCAATTTTTTAGTAATACAATTTATTATAATATTTTTCTTTAATGTATAATATTTGTTTGATCTGTTGAAAAATGAGGATTGGTCTCTGTGATGAGTTTTATTTGCTTGTTGGAAATACCAGCTATTTAAATGTCAACAGAAGAAGCAGTAGTAACAGAAATACCACAATTGGTGTTGGTTGCAGGTGGGAATCCAGGCAAAAGTATAAAATAAAATAAAATAAAATAAAATAAAATAAAAATGTATTCAGCTATCTTCTTGTACCACTATTAAGCGTGTGCCTCGGGTCACACTCTTGTAAGTATGGAGGCCAGGAGTACTGGCCAGGACAGTACATTTACCAAGACAATGCTTCCTTAGTGTGTAGTAGCTTGACATTAATTGAATCATCTCTACCCAAGGATTTATTTGCTTCTGAATTAATTGATTTGCTTTGACATTTTTTGTAGGTGTTTGACACTGTCATTAATTTAGTGTTACTCAATTTAACTTCTGCATTGCACACTACGTAGTATTCAGCAAGAAGTTACTGCCTACGAATAATATGGGTTGCCAAGAGCACACTCTTATGAAGTGGGGAACACCTCTCAGCAGAATGAAACACATTCATTCCCAAGGGATCAATTGGATTTTGATGCCTTCAGGGGAAAAGAGGGGGGGGAAAAAAAAAAAAAAAAAAAAAAGGAACATTCGCAGCTTACAGCTTTGTTTGGATAAGTAACAAAATAAACACAAGTGATAGAAAACTGTGTCACGAGCTGAAATTTTAAGTAAACCTATTAACAATGTGAAATTTATTGTGAGCTCACAAGAGCAGGTAACATTGACACTTAAGGAAAGAATAACTTCTATCAGCTGGAACATATTAGAACTAAGCCTTCCCATTTTTGTGTTGCCAAAACAACATAACCTGCCATAACTGAGTGGAATTAAGAAAAATTGGTTAAGCAGGCTTATCCATGTTTTATGTTGCCTGCATGTCCTTCAAACACTTCTTGAATATATTACTTCTTTCATTTCTAGCTCTTCCATGTTTCAATTTTAATTTCATGGAATTATGGAGAAGCCTTCTATAGCCCTTCTTGTTCAGCTGGTTCTTTAATGTGGTGCTCACAATTTGACAGAAGGGACAGTATATGCATGATATCAAGTCAAGCTCCATGTTACCATAGCTAGCATTTCTTCCAGCCCTAAGCTATCTCCCCTAAAACCAAAATCACAAGCAGGCCTCCAAAGACCAAGACTGGAAGATTTTCTATTTGTCTCCTACTTTGGGACAACAATCATTATTATTATCGTTGTTACTGTTATTGTTGTTATTATTATTAACCTTTTATTTGTCATTCAAAGTAGTAAATTTACTGTTAATTTGAACATTAAAGTTTTCAAGCAATGACAGAATCCAAAGAGTTGGATCTTCAGAAGAATATGGTGAGGTACAGGGGAGATGGCAACCTGGTTCTGTTGCTACATCAAGTGAAGGTAGAGCTAAGCAAGTGATGGGTCAGAGAGGATGAGTAGACTGGGTCTTTGATTTATTTCTCTTCTCCTGGACTAACTCTCCCATTAGGAAAGCATCCTCACTGCAGATGGACTGCTTTGGGAATTCGTGTTGTGAACAAGGTAGTATTGCCACCTGAAACATTATGTGACCAATAATATTTTTGTCCTCCACAGGGTAAGAATCCCAGAGCTTGTGCTATTTTTGGGAAAGCTGTGCAGCACAGTGAAAGTGGGGCTTGTCCAAATGAAGTCAGCCTCTAGAGCAGCATTCAGCTCAGGGCAACAGCAGCACACAGCAAACACATTCACTTGGAGAAATCTCTTACTGTTCTCTGCAAGTCTGAGCAGCAGTGTTCCAGCTGACCTTCTGATTCACTACCAGGAAATAGCAGCTGCCCTCGTGATGGCTCCATCCAGCAGGACACTTCTTCATGCTTACCTCCTAGAATAAAAGAGGAAGAGGCAAAACAGACTCCTGCTCAAAATGATCTCAGTCTATGCACTAATAATCAGATTGAATGCTGGAGGTGCTGCTTATGGCCTACCTGGAATTAAATTGAACATGAACTTTGGTGGGTATAAATAAAGCTGCAGCATTGATTAAAAGATGCAAAGAAATAAATGCCTGCCAAAGGAGCCTGCCATTAATAATGAATAGCTTTAAAGGTGACATGAAGTTCCAGTTCCAAAAACCCTTTTAAGAGACTACATTTCTTTGTCTCCTGCAGTCTGTGTAGGGACTGCAGTGCAACAAGATTTGGCATGACATCTTATGTTGCAGAGGGGATGTATGTTTACAGAATACTTAAGTCAGCTAATTTCACTAACTCCCACTTATTTTCTCACTAATTTCATTCACTGACTGTTTCATGCCCATACCCTCACAAGTACCAAAAAATCAGGGCTCATGTGGTATACCTGTGGCTGGCAGAGAGGAAAGGCTACACCAGCAATCAAACCCTCATCATGTCTCTAAGAACCTTCTTTTATGGTGACAGCAAACTCGACTCTGGACAACTCTTGTTCCCTGTCCAAGTCAATAGTTATTACAGGAAAGTCTCTTGAGAATCTCTCTCATCAAGGAAATAGATGAATACTTGTAGCAACATTTTTACCTTGCTTTGGGAATTCCAGAATTTCCACATTATCCCATCACACTGAAATAACTTTTGAATGCTTTCTTCATAATGCAAGAGACCCTTTAAATCTGGTGTACAGGCCTTTGGAAAAGAGTAAAAGTTCTGGGAAGAGAAATATAATTTGAACATTTAAAGGAAAACAATTACACAAATCAAACAAGCTACACAAAACAGCTTAAACAGGTTAAACAGCTCTTACATTAAAACTTTATTACATGAAAAATCTTCAAAGGCTGAGCTGTGAATTTATCTGTGTATTGGTTAAATGCAGCTTTAGAATGGGAAGGTTAGGCTGCAGATCTCAGAGGTGTTACAAAATTTTGGAGAACAGCATGACTGAAAACAGATGGTGAAAATGCCTGTGCAACAAAACATTTTATACCTGATGTCTTGAGCTTGGTTCAGATGTGAGTTCTGCCTTATCAGCTTGTGGAATTTCTGTCTTCCTAGAGGAGATGACATTTATCTGTGGTTGTGCTTGGTTAATTACTGACACTTGAGCCTTCTTGTTTGCTCTAGCTGATGAGCTGTCATCCTCTATTTTGAGTGATACTATCCCGTGATACTTCATTTTACAGTATCACACACATACAAACAGAACAAGAGAGGGAAAAGAAAGATTTAGCAAATACAAGCAACTCTTAAAGTGCATACACACACAGAAGAAGAGTATTATAGTGGAAATAGTTGCTAATCAAGGGGAAATCACACCAGAGAAAGATACATAGAAAAATAAAGTACTGGTCATAATGAATTATTATCAGCTGTAAACCCTGTAATTGGAATAAAAAAGAAATCACAGAAATATCTGAGCAATACTCATAACATTCTTACTTCAAAAACTGCATCAGTTCCATTTCTAACTACAGATGAAGGATGAACCTAAAAAAAAAGGTATAACAACAAAATGAGATGGACATACTCATGCATTATGGAAACCAAATTACTTTATACGAGGTTTACTACAAGATCTATGTAACAAATCATGCAGAACATATCTTGGGTTTAGCTCTTTCTCTTTCAGAATCAAAACTGATCACTTCTGAAAACAACCATTAAAAATCACACATTACAAATGTGGTTATAAACAGATCCATTGACTTGTAAGATAACAATAGCAGAATGTTATTAAACCACCTAGTTAAACCAATGCAGCTTTAGCAAGAAAAACAATGGGCAAGTTTTATGTAACTGTTTTCTGTTTAAGCTAAGGGTATTTTCAGCTTTACAACTTCAGGAGCAGACACACAATTTCTATACATTGGCCTGGCTCCAGTGACTTCTTTCTTCTGGCTGACTCACAATTTAGACAAGATTTGAAGCTGCATGATTGCCAAAGTTTATTGAGCCATGTTTCCTTCAAGAAGTCTGTTTTTCTTCCTCTCTTGTATACCTGGATCTAGAAAATCAGGATAATTTTTTTTCTCCACACAGTATTTTAAGAAATCTCTAAGGTCTGACTCAAAGCAAACTCAGGTGGTTTATGGTTATTGTATGGTCAGGTAGGATCACTACAAAAATATGACAGCTTGAATGAAGATATCAAATTGCAATGAATACAAAAATCACTCCATCACTGCACTACAGAAGGGTCTTACTATTCTTCCATTTGCAGTCACTCTCAGCCTTGTCCTTGACGGATTCACCAAGCTGTGCTCCTGCCTCAGGTTTTCTCCATGCTCTCTCATCCCTTTGGAAGGAGGCAGTGGGATCCCTTCCAAGGGAGCATTGCCAGGCCTGGGAGGTGAAGAGGAGCCTGGAGAAACTGGAAACAGTGTGCCTCTCCCCCAGAAATAGTGCTTGCTTTGGCCAGAAGAATGGGAGTAACTGCACTGACCTGAAAGCATGAAAAATGGCAGATGGTCAGTTCTAACTGCTTGAGCAGATAACTGGTCACGTTAACATGGGCACATAAACAGCTTGTCATTAAAAACGGGATGATTCTTTCACTTGATGTGGTTGATTTACCCTTTATTCAGTCATCCTCATTTGTAGGGTTTGCTGTGACTATCACTGCAACTACTACTTGTATTTGTTTTTATACATAGTGCATCTTACCCACACATCAGAATTTCAACCAAGCATCTACTGAAAATGCCAGTTTTCATGTGCAGATTGAGGTATGGAGTGCTTTTTTTAATGATTGTGGATAGACAGGTATCCCTAACTAACGTTGGTGATACTTCCGTCATGCCTGGACAATTTTCTCTTCAGAAATCCAGGACACTATTGTTACTGCAAACTATTTGTGTCAATTAGGTTCTGATTCACATAATGAATGTTAAAGAGAACACAGTTCTAAAATTTTGAAAGGATTTTTTCTTTTTAATGAAGCCTAATTAATTGCAACACAGGCATTTAAAATACTGTTTCACTAAACACCAGAACACACACACACAAAAAAAACCTTTCATCTTTTAGAGGACTCAGCTGCTTATTAGTTATCTGTATTTTTCTACAGTTGCTTCTTATTTAGGTGTGATTTTAGGCACACCACATTTGATCACTAAAAAACATAATAATAATGGAGACACAAAAGCCTAAACTCTCTAATGATAACTGTTGCATGCTGTAATGTTGTGGATTGTTTATTAAGCATTGGAAAGTGTATTTCTAAGGGTTGGGTTTAGTTGTTAAGGGTTTTTTTTGAGAGGAAAATCTTTTTCAGAGATGTATAACAACTGTTAGAAAATAACGGAAAAAAATTTCTAATGGACATAAAATATTTTTTTTCCCCACTTTAATAAATGAGAACTGAACTCATGTTGTCATGAAAAGTGGTTTCTTTCCTTGCACTCCTTTCATTTTGCATTTGTTGCCTTCTCCATGCTGTGTTTCCAGAGAGGATTGTGTGAGCAAACAAAAGAGTCTGCAGCTGTCAAGTCTGTTCCCTCTAAAAAGAAATTAAGCATTTTGATCTGAAGGTGAGTGTTGGGAACAACTTGTGGTTGAAAATAAAAAGCTACTCAGCCAAGATTGTCCCACCTTCTTAATGGCAGAGATCAAAAGAGAATACCTCCTTTTGAATCCAAAATTTTCACTACAGCTTTTGTCCGAGTGCCAAGAACAGCATTCACAGGGGAGTTGAGAACTACTTCAAAGACTTCATCGTCTTCCTCTAATCCATCATAGGTAATTGCTATATTCCACATCTTCGTTGACATTCCTAAAAAAATAAACATTTTAATTACTTTTTAACTGCTATTTCAATCAATCAGGGTGTCAAAGAAATATATTAATTAACATGTCTGCAGCTAGAATGGAGTGGCTGGTGTATGCTATTGTGCTCCTACAGCCTGACTGGGCTCCTGCTGTTCTCCCAAATAACATCACATTCAAATTTGTTCCCGGGCAATTCAGTTCAAGTGTGTACACTGTAACAGAAAGCTGCTGTAGATGTGGGAAATAACATGACAACACATAGGCTTAGGAGTTTCATTGTAATTTAAAAGAGAAAATATATAATGTTTTGTTTGTGTGGGGTTTTTTTGGGTTGTGGATTGGTTTTGCTTTTGGTTTTGTTTCTTATTTTGAAAACTTGATTTTAAAGATTCAGCAGTTATTTAAAATATCTGCATATGGATCAAAGACAATGGTGGATTCAGGTACAATATTTTAGGCAGATTTTATGCTTGGTTACAAAATTTTTACTTGATTGCTTTCTGTTAGTAAAT